CGGAAAATACACTACAGGTAGCGCTGAATCGATTCTTGCCTTCGATGGAGATAGTCACGACATTTAAAAAGTCGCAGAAGCAATCCAATCTGCTCTGTGATGATAATGTAACACTCAGTGGTAAAAAGAAATAAATATCAGATTCACAAGCTTCAGCTCAATAATGACAAACCTAAATATATGACTATTCACGTCACTTGAAAAAACACAGATACAATACGAGGAACCTCTGAACGTGGCGAGTAAGCTGTTGCGAATGGCACTAACTTCAAGCATGCTGGTTCCATCATAAAAGACAACGGGAAAATCGACAGCGAATAAAAAAATCTGTCGGAAAAGGTATGGTTCAACTGGAGAGAGGACGTGCTACGTAACAATAAGCTGTCCAATATTCCATTGAATGGACAGCTTAATATTGCATAGCACGTCCTCTCTCCATTTGAACCATATCATTTTCCACTGAATTTTTTAATTCGATTGAGATGACATGGTAAGTGAGGTTTTTACTTTTGTACAAGGCGGAATATTTCGCGACTTTGAAGATACATGAACAACAACTCCAGTGAAATGCGAAATGATAAGCTGCACCAAGGCGACAGTTGCAATACCTTGGCAAGGTCACTATTGCTGTAGCCTCAATCATAAAAACGAGACTGATAGGCTTGGCCACGATGGCAGAAAGCCACATGAATAAGCAAAAAGTGCGGTCTAGGCAATGATATTGTAAGGCATGTGTAGAGAAGAAAGGCAAAATAAATGGCGGTGCTGTGTTTGAAAAATTATAATAAACCACTGGAAATGAGAGAATGCATCTCGCTAAACGCCTAAAGTTAATGGCGGAATGCAGTCAAAGGCAATAAACAAGAAAGTTAGAGAAGCGAAAGAAGCCTTGGTGGTTTGAAACGATGTCTTTTTAACAATTACGAAACTGAGCAGCAATTAACTGTTTTATCGGCAAAAATAAACGCTCAATATTTTTTCGTACTGTACAGTAAGATGCATTTTCTGCTTTCAGAACTCGCATAAATACAAGGCCTTAAAAAATGTCACTATACTCTCTGCTCAATTTCACTGAAAGTACTGAAACGATACTAAGTGAAGTTACTGCACGTATGATGTCGTTAGTGATATCGTAACAACGAACAGCATCATTAAAAATATGAAGTTCCATTATTAAAGCATTTATATGTCGAAAACAGTAACGTAAAAATTATTGTATTAGCACAAGCTGGAGAAAAAACTCGAAGAGAAGTGCTTAATTCCATAAATTTATACAAAAGGACTTAACTGACGTAAAGCGTATCATTCAATATTTTAAATCGAATTAAATGACGTTACACAACACAGGTTAGCTTTGAAGAGGAATAATCAGTATTCATACCTGAATAATGAACAGCGTAAAATTCTCAGGCAGAATAAACATTATCTTTGTACTGTAATTAAGTACATCCGGTACATAAGTGGCAATGTCATCGAACGAAGCGACCTCCAAAATCTGGCAGAGGCATTTTAAGACAGCACGCAAAGGACCGATAAAGCGATCGACGACCTCTTCATCCAAATTATTCTGGAAAATGATAGACACCGAATTAATCAGTAAGAAAAAAATAACGCAATACCCGATAGTTGCTCCATGCTCCTTGCAGCGTTTCGTACAGATGAGCCATGCCAGGCAAATGGCTAAACTCGATTTTCTGCTTAGCAGACGGAAAAATGATTGGTTGGTCTTGTTTTTCTGAAGAAAGCAAACGTCTGCCAAAATCTTAAAACAATTTCACTCACCAAGGGTAGACTTTGGCTCGTTTTTAGTAGTAGGAGAGTACTTCAATCGACTGACAGAAGGAATAATGGGATTGGAGAATGATCCTTTCGTCAATGTGCCAAACGCGGTGGAAACGTTGGACTTCTGCATTATGGTCCAGTACATGTTTAATATCTGTATGCAGTAATGCAACAGCTCAAATGCAACGTTGGCCAACATCTCATCTTCCAGCAAAGGAAATCGCTCTCGACGGATGGCTGTTTTCTGTTCCACCGACAATTCAGCACAACCTTAAATTATTCAGTCGATAACGTGGGATGATCATACTGCTTGAAGGGCATGGCTTGAAACTGATTCATTCGCAACGTAAGCAGGAAAATATGCAGCATTTTCATATGTCTTTTGTCAGATCCACCGCAGTAATTTGTTTTAACGTTATTTCTGGTTATTAATAATCGACTGGGAAAAAACAAAGTCAACCAATATTCAATGGACCTGCGCTCAGACAATTCGTTGAATGAGATGGGGGGAGGTCGTTAACACAGATTAAGAATGTCATGCTCACTTTGAAGAATAAGACAACCAACTCAAAACGAATCGGCCGATACAGCAGATGACTTCAGCAGCAACTGGAAATCTAAACAGCACGTACACCGAAGAAGGCGCTCATGAGACACGGACTTTTCCAGTGATCTGTCGTCTAATTGTTTAATACATTGCACTGTGGATTAATAAACTCTTTACGCTGCAAGTCAGCAAATGAACAAAATACTATGTATTCATAGTCTACTTATCACCATCCTGAAAATAAATGTCATAATGGCTGTTTAAGAGTAGATCAACGCGAAGTACGATTTTGTTTCTCTCAGCCTATAAGGCGCTTTCGACATAGAACCAAAACAAAAAGAAAATCTGCTACTCCAGCATTTCATATTTTTTGGAAGAAATAATTTAAAAGGGTTGAAATACAATTGTTTCGAGCTGCGCCAAAGCAAAATTTAATCTGACATCTAATACTCATTTATACAGCTTATGGGCAGCGGTGGAAACTTTGAACAGTATTCTTTATCTGCGCTTCAAGAAATATTAATATGCAGTCGTCCCTCTGCCAGCGAAGCAAACAAAAAGAATCAATTTTTTATGAGCCCTCTATAAAAGTCTTTATAAAGGAAGATCACGATGGACGTATAGTCAGTGTCAAAAACACTGCGACTAACGAATAAGAAAGACTACAGAGAGAAACGCTCTTTGAAGCATCTGTGCGAATGCCGAAGAGAATGTTTTTACGCGCACTGAAGAAGTTTTAGTGCAACTGGGACTCGCTATGATTAAATATGGTAATTATGGCTAGTACCCGTACCATTTAGCGTGAGGAACAATGTTCCAAGAAATTACAAAAAAGGACGGTATGAATCTGATCACGTAAACTGACAAACTAGGTGAAAAAGTGAAGCGTTGAGTGTTCATTGCAAGGAATAACCTTAAAGCAATACAATCAAACTTTACGGAAATTCGTATCAGTTGAAAATCTTGCTTTGGGGCAAGGCCGGGTATGGAAAACGTGGATGAAAACTGACGCAGTCTTTCGTCATATCTATGAGAACATCGATGAAATCATCGTAATCGATTCTAATAAAAGTGGATAGATTACTGCAAGGAAATCTATGTAACAGAACTTTTAAAACAAATAACAGAAAATGTTTGAAAATGACAACAATAACTGTTATAGAAATCCGCGATATAAATTTCATTTCACAAAGAAAATTAAATAAATCACAACTGTAAAGCTAAACATAACAGGACTAAAAATAAGCCGTGCTCAAACTTTTCTTAGCATAAAATTACCGTCAGTCAAATTTGATTCAATGCCCCTAAGACGCACCATAAGTTGCCAAAACCTCGCATATGACAGTTAACAAACATTAAATAACAAACCAACAGTGGAAATGAATCTATATCAGGCTGACCAGAGCTTGATTACAAAATAACTGTTCTTCATTTTTTTCATTCTTGAGGTCGATCAGATATCAGAGAGGTAACGGAACGCCTGACCTTCGATAAGGTCGCCTGAATCCGGTACCTGCAAGTAACAAACACGAAGCTTGTGCTTGACCTCTTTGAAAGGCACGTTTGGAACCATTAGTACAGCTGGTGAATTAAATCGGTTCGAAAAAGCTATTTAGAGAAAGTATTGTCTTTATTAAGTATCTGGTTACGATACATCCCAACTCGTAAACGGTGCAAGTTACACAGTCAAACTAGCAGTTTCAAAATGTTCCGGATGCAGGAAAGCCATTTTCTCCGGACAATGGAGAAACAAATAGGCAGAGCGTAGAGGAAGAATGGTAGGATGCAGAATTTTACGAAGTCATTCATCACTTCTGAATCATCGCACAACCTCCTATATTTGCGCAATAGCAAAACCAATCGCCTCACTCGATCAAGCATTGCATTCTTCTGCTTGTTCTCAGCCACGACGCTCATTCACAATCAACACTAGGTATTTTAATGCGAAGATTTTTTCAAACTAGTTGTTGCGGAACTATACAGTTAGTGCAGCAGTTTCCGTACAGACTCAGCTTAGACGCCTGCGTAACAGAAAGGACAGACGTCAGATTTCTTTGGACTAAGTCTAAGGCCGTTTCGTTCATCCAGCCCCCCCCCCAGTTCTTGAATGAAGACGAAAAGACATAATAATTCAGATCCGGATAGTACCGAAGCCAAGACAGAAATATCGTCAGCATACATCATGCGTGTGGTGGTAGCATCGATTAAGTGACATCGTGACGTGTATAAGGCGAAGAATGAAGGTGACCAACAGGATCCTTGCCGGACGCAACGAATCGTTAGGTTTCTCCTTATCCACCTGAACAAACTCCGAATCTCGAGTAATACATGGCCAGCAGGCAGAAAATGTGAAGACCCATACCGATGCTAGCCAAAACTCAGCAGAGCAGCTGAAGACTTTACAGCATGTTGTAGACTGTACTGTAGCTCAGAAAGGCACCCTTTACTAATGCTTACCATTCGTCAAGGTTGCTGGCAATGCGTTTACAACTACTGTCAATGTATCCAGAGTACTGAGTCCTCGAACATATCGAACTGCCATGGATGGACATGTTCCAATACCCCTGAACAAATAAACGGCGATACGATTCTTTCCAAGGATTAAACGCAATTGGAGCCACTGCAATGGGTCTTCAGGGCGACCTAAAAGATTTCTGGACAGGAGTTATTCGCAACGTATGGCAATGATTCGGTACGGCATGTAATGATAAGCAGCAGTTGCATATTCCGGCAAAGATCTCAGAAAGTTAGTCAGTCCCAAGCTTTAAGACCATGGGATAAAACATGTCCATTACAACAGTTGTGGAAGATGTGATTTTCTGAACTGCCGACATACACCATCAGCCGAAAAGTTGTTCGACGACACGCTGATTTCGCGGTTCACAAGGATTGTTGTTGTAAGCGGATTAGTGGCTACTTCCTCCTTTTCGAACCGTAGACAGTAACAGACCAGTCTCAGGATCTGCACCCATAGTTCCGAATCTCTGCTTCTCATTGCACAGTCGGTTGATCGAGCTCCATATATCCGTCACATGTGTACAGGCCAAAATGATTTCGGAGTGCTCGTGGTTGAATCGAGCTATATCAAATATCAGCCACCTCCGCTGGCATTTAATGACTGTATTGTTTCCGGTCCTTTGTTCTTTTGCCAAATAAGTAGTTTAACACCCTCTGACCTGCAAGTCAATGTTCATGACGTGAATTTCTGCCAGGGGCAACAGGTATCGAAGATAAGGTTGATGCTATGTATGCCATATGTTTGCTTACGTCTGGGTAGCGGCAAATGTGTTCCAATCTGCTGTTTCTGCTTCCATTACAGATTGGAAGTGTTAAATCCTTTCAGCATTCATTGACCTCCGAATAACAACACGCTGACTGCATCGAATAAAAGTAAGCTGCCACTGTCCCCTGCCGCATATACACTGTATCAGCAGGACACAATGATCAGGATTAATCAGAGACACAAAACCCTTATTCCCAAAAAACTGGAATTGCTTACCGCTGCGCAATCCCTTCGAGCGTCAAGCCTTATAGGAAGCGAAACTATGACCGTTAGATGAAGATCCGTTAACGGCATCAAGTTGTGTACGTCAGCGTCACCAAAGAACACAAACATTTAAAACAGGGGCCAACGCTGTCACCATGTTTCCCAATTACGGAATAAATAACTGGGCACCTGCAGTTCGGGGGTATGCATCGACTACTTCTGAGAATGTTGAAAGACGCTGGTACGTACCCTTGCTTGCATTCCATGATGTTGTAGATCATCTTAGCGGAACTTAAACCACTCTAAAATATTTATACACCGAATCAAGTGATCCGCGTTATCATACCGCCAGTACAACTAGATTTATCTTTCCCGGGACGTTCAAGGCAGTAACAAACGAAGTTTTCTAAACCAGAGATGTTGTTATCGTACCTGGGAAGTAACCATGCCAGAAAATACGAATAATATTATCAGCTAAACGCTTTATTATATTATGCTCCAAACTCGGGATACTTTCAACTGAAACTCAAACGGTGACACAGAATCGGGAACGCTTGGGATACTGTCTAACGCGTCTGCCTATGCTAAAAGGAACCACTGAAACTGATTGACAGACTGACTGGTTATATACTAAATATAACCCTATGTTAAGACAAGCCACAACGGGGTCAAAAACGCATATCACGATATTTTTATTATAGACCTACTGCATACAAAGTGATATTTTGAACCAAATCCAATCCCTCTTCAGGGGAACAAAGGTGTTACCCTGAGGAAATGCCAATCTTAGTCCAAAAGATCAGTACCTATTCAAAATGTCCATGATTAAAATGTGTATGCCCTGTTTTTCCGTTTGTGATTTGGGGCAACATAAACTCTTTTATAAGGAACTCTTGGTCGATTTTCAACCGAAATACAACGCTAATAATATATAAATACATTATCATTTGTAATTAATTAAAGTGCTGCAGCATAACTCTTAAAACAGAACTGGTCTGATGGGTTCATTAAATGATCATGCAAATTAGGCAAAGCTTACACAATCGAAACGGAATACCGCATCTGAAAAAATGGTTTTATCCGCCTTTCAGATGGAGAAGGTAGATGAACAGAAATACACTACTGCGGAATTTTCAAAACAGTACGGAGAGTAAAAGAAATCCTGTCTCCATAAGAAGTGAAATCTCGAACGCTCAGGAACCATCAAACACACTACGCATAAACGGCACGTCAACATATGATCGACATCAGCAATAGAACTTGACTGAAAGGGAACGTCAAAGTACATCAATCATCCGATTTTGCAGCGTAATTACCCATTGCAAAAGATACCAATTCTGCATGAGACTACTACTAACTGAATGAGACTCGTTACTTCCTAACACAAACGAGCTAGTAAATCAGTAGACGGATGATCAAAAATCTTTCTTATCAGTCAAACAGTCTCTTACAATAGGAAACACTAAAAGTAATCTATCTTTCTTTCCTGAAGAAAGTGCAATAAACAGGCATCCAGTCATCAGTCCGAGTTCTTCAGCACCAGTTTATCATAGGAACAACCTGTTTGGTGCTGCGTTAAATAAATCTGTATTTTTGCTGTTTTCTATTATAACTACCAAGGCAAAAAAAGACGGTATACATTTAAAGTTTACAGTTCAACAACGAGAATATCAGAAATGATGCTGCATGTTTAAGAGATCAGAAATGATGCTGCATGCTTAGAAGGATAAGGACATCGACTGAACAAACATATAACTTACCACAGAACAAATTGCCAAGGAGATTAAACAGAACTTCATAAAAAAGAAACGGATCGTTTTCTCCGGGGCATACTTCCATCATCTCGATTAGAAGCTTCAAAAGACCAAGGGCCTTTATTCCTTTTCCTGACGAAACAATAAACCACGAACTTTTAAAACGGGTAGGTGGGAAGTGCTGAGTCAGTTCTTTCAGTGCACAAAGGCAGCCAATCTGTTCAAGCAGATAAGACGGTTAAAAGAAAACAAAAGTCACTGTATCAAAAAGCTTACCTTCTGATAGCCCTTAGAAGAAAAGAGTGCCTCTATAAGAATAGCCACCAAATGAGATGCGTTGGTTTCGGTAGTAACATCGACGGCTTGACCGATGGACATTTGAGAGTCGTAAAACGGATATGCAAGGCAGTGTATAGCCGAGAATCGTTCATGAAGAAAATACAATGAATTCAACGTGTCGCATGAATTGAAATGGTTGATCAGCTTGATTATGAACGGATTGCCTCCAAAATGAAAGCGACTGACCATTCTAATATAAAAAGAATCACGTGTCTGCACACCTATTACGGTCAACTGAAATTACCGGAAGACTTGAAACTGAGCAAAAACGTACTTTAGATTCAATTTTTAAAAAAATGGTTCGTAGTTCGCCAGATTACCGTGATGGTAATCGAAAAGGTTCGACAAGGCAATTAAAGATACCTCGCTTGTAAGACC